GGAATGTTACTTTGTGACATTCCATTGATTTTTATGTACAGCCGCTTATTTGAGCTGAGCTAAGTGACCGCACACAGGCTCACACAGAGACCCATGGAGTGGTGAGGAAATCTGTAGCAGTGTTGCAGGTGACAGCTGCGGGGAAGTGTGAACAGGGCCCACAGAAACCATTGTTTTCTGTGTGTCCTTGCAGAGAGCTGCGCTTTTCTTATGCAGAGAAACATAGCTTTCTGCTATAGTATGAACAGGCACTCAAAGTGGAACTAAACCCTCCTATCCTTTCAGCCAAGGAATCTGCCATCTTAGCTTCTGTTTGATCTGCAATTGTGATGGTGCTGCACATGTGATCAATTGAGACATCAGCCATTTGAGGCTGCATTCACATCTAGGCTTTTTCTCGTCGTGATTCTGCCCGTGATCCCAAAATGCTCTGAAACTAAATCGCACCACGCTTGTTCAGGTGCCATTCATTTTCATTGGCATTTAAACGTGAGCCTGAAAGTTTGACAGCACAAGAAAATGTGACAGTTACGTTCCCAGTATGCTTTGAATGTAACTGTTTTTTTTTTTTTTAAACCGTTAAATCAGTGGGTTTAGTTCCGCTTTAAACTGAAAGTTCAGTTGTGCTTTGAATTGTATCTATCTGGCTGTGGCTACTTTCTAAAGAAGAGTAACTGTAAGACAATGGAAAACACCTTTTGTTTTTATGCACCTGGAATGTATTTGAACGATTTAAATAATTCGGCTCAACCTCTCTAACTGCCACTTTTGCTTGACAGCTTGGTCTTTTAAAGGAAGCTGAGAAATAATCGATTTACTGGTCCAATCATCAGGTGGAAAAAAAAGGAATAAGCCTAAAAACTAATGCAGCCACCACATCTAAGAATTGTTAACTGCAATATAAGACTTTTTGTTGTTAAAGTGGTTGTAAAGGCTGAAGGTTTTTTAAGTTCATGTATTCTATGCATGAAGGTAAAAAACCTTCTGTGTGCAGCCTCCTCAATACTTACCTGAGCCTCATCGCTATCCAGCGATGTGCATGACAGCCTCGACTGTCCAGGGTCTCTGCCTTCTTATTGGCTGAGACAGCAAGCGGGAGCAATTGGCTCCCGCTGCTGTTAATCACAGCAGAGCAGCGGGTGACCCCATAGCAAGCTGCTTGCTGTGGGGGCACCTGACAGAAAGGAGGGGCCAGGACAGCCTGTGGGGGACCCAAGAAGAGGAGGATCCAGGCTGCTCTGTGCAAAACCACTACACACTACAGGTAAGTATAGACATGTTTGTTATTTTACAGAACAAAAAATGAACCTTTAGAATCGCTTTAAATTTAATAACACCGTAAACCTGCAGGGTTTTTAGTTGAACACCTTGGGCACAATAAAATAAACATTTCCCAGTAAACTATTTGTTAAAATTCTTACTCCAGCACTTGTATTTTCCAGCTTTCAAGTCTGCTGTTTCCTGCTCTCTCAGTGCTGCTTCCCTGGAATTCCTGCCATCACAGGAAAGAGTTAACAGTGGACAGAGCAGTCTGGAGGCAGTCTTTTAGCTTTGAGAAGGGAGATCTATGAAGTAATTTGGCTTGAAACAAATTTTTTATTTTTCTAAAAAAAAAAACCCCAAAAACCTGGAGAATTAAGGGTCCATCCACTCCACGGAAGTGGAAGAATATTAGTAATTATGGAGTACATTGCAGAGACCTATGTCTAAGTTCTCTAGCAGGCATGAGAGGCGGTTTGTGGAATATAGGGGGGTTCTCCTTTCTCTAAGTACTAGATGGTAGGTTTGGATTTCAAGCAATTAGTCCTTTTTTCTCCTCTTTCTCTTTTTAGATATGTTTTTGTGGGGAGTATGCATATGGTTCTTTCCCAATATTGACTGCTATAGTCCTTCCTCATACATTCCGCTGCTGAATACTAGAGGTAAGCTTCAACACAATGGAGTCTGACTGGTTGATGGACATTCTAGTCCAGTTTTAACCTGTAGCTGTCACCCCATGGTTCGCCTGTCTTATGGGGCAATCCTGCCTGTTTCTGATTGAGATTGGCGGTGGGGTGGGGGGTGAGGTGCGGATGGAGGACAGGTGATTTAGGGATATATGTTTTTTTTTTTGCATTTTTTTGTATGCCATGTTTTCCTCCTTCACACCACTCTGTGAGTTTTTCATTTTTTTGCATATAATTTACATGATGCTGATGGAATTATTTGTTCAATTCAGCCATATCACTCATATATGTGCAAGCGTGGATACTGAGTCATGCAAAACACTTGGATTTTACATGCTTACATAATTTACTAAATGTTTATTATGATTGTCTTCATGAGGAATTGGAGGTGTGAATGGTCATTAACATATCTTTTGTTTCCAAGGGTGGGAGAGGTCTGAGGTGTGAATTGGTCATTACAATGTGTGACAAGCCTGGTAGGAACATCCTGTGTTCAGTGTTTTGTCCATTTTGAGTACCTTGAAAACGCCTTGCATGCATTTTTCATGATGAAAAAAAGGCCCTGGACAGCATCAGGAACTGGAAGAGTTAAAAAAAATTTTCAAACGCTTATAAACGTGATTTGCCGCGTTTACAAGCGTTTTGCGTTTGAAATGCTGATAAAATCGACTGCTGAAAGCAAGTTTTCTGCATTCAAAAAAACGACTATAAACTCAAATGACTGTAAACGAAGATGTGTATGGACACATTGGAAAACATTAGGGAGAGTTCAGGGGCTGCTGAAAAAAACGCTGAACAGCTCCTAAACGTGAGTTTATCATCTGCAGTGTACATGAGCCCTTAGAAGCAAGTCAGATAGAGCCTGCCTTGTTTCCTGGATGGAAGAGGTTCAGCATCTTCCAGCTCTTTGTTTCAATGGCCTTTTTCTGCTTCAATCGTTTTTTATTTGGTTTACCATTAAAAAGCAAGCGACAAATAATAGTATCATGGAATATGCTTTCCAGCACATTAAGTACAGAAGATACAAACAGCAGCTACAAAGCCAAGATCAGCCGCAATAGGCCTATGCAGAAATAACTATCTGACTCTATAATCTCTTTAGGGTCGTGGGACCACATTGTCCTCATTGCATGAAAGTGTCACTTGTATTATTGTTATTATACAGGATTTATATAGTGCCAACAGTTTGCTCAGCGCATTACAATATAAAGGGAGACAATACAGCAAATACAGTTCAATACAAGAAGGTTAGGAGGACCCTGCTCCTTGGAGCTTACAATTTACAAGGGAGGGGCTGGTGGTACAAAAGGTAATAACCGTGGGGGATGGACTGGTAGGAGGAATAGAAGATTCCAGTATTAGCTGAGGGCAGGATAGGCTTCCCTGAAGAGATAGGTTTTCAGAGATCGCCTAAAAGTGGGCAGAGTAGGCGATAGTCTGATAGATTGGGGTAGAGAGTTCCAGAGGATGGGGGAGGCTCTGGAGAAGTCCTGGAGAGGAACATGGGAGGAGGAGACAAGGGAGCTAGAGAGTAGGAGGTCATGCGAGGAGCGGAGAGGACGGTTTGGGTGATATTTGGAGACAAGATTGGTGATGTAATTTAGGGCAGAGTTATAAATGGCTTTATATGTTATTGTTAATGTTTTGAATTTTATCCGTTGGGCAATGGGAAGCCAGTGGAGTGATTGGCAGAGAGGGTTGGCAGATACAGAATGGTTAGTAAGGTGGATGAGTCTGGCAGCAGCATTCATGATAGACTGAATAGGGGATAGCCTGCAATGAGGTAGGCCAATGAGGAGGGAGTTACAATAGTCAAGGCGAGAGATAACCAGGTAGTGAATAAGTTGCTTAGTTTTGGAGGTTAATGAACAGTAGAAGAGACCAGAGTCTCAACAACAGAAACTAACTTACTTTAAAAGTAAGAAGTGTTTGTAGAGAATAGAAATGAAAGGAAAAAGAGAAGAGAGTAAAGATACACCCATCCTGGGATCCATCATCATCACGTCTCGTAGCCACCCCTAAATGTCTGGAACATGTAGATAAGACAGCCAGGGGTTCCACACTTTTTCAAAGATGGTTTGTTTATCCTGTAGGACACTCACAATCTTTTCATTGAGCATGATCCACGTCAGTTTACCCTTCATCAAGGCCAGATCAATCTCTGGACTTTTCCAGGCTGTTGCCATGGCAATTTTAGCCTCTAGGAATGCAAAAATGGATCGAAGTCTGTGAATGTCTCGGGATATCAGCTACTGAGGCATTCAGTAGTGCTGTACAAGCATCCTCGGAGATGTTGAGTATGATAACTGAATATATAAGAGAGTGGACCCTTATCCAAAAGCAATGCACCTTAGCAGGGGCAGACTGACAACTCATGGGGCCCCCGGGCAATAGGGGATCATGGGGCTCCTGTGTCCTTGCCCAAACTCAAAAAAGCCTATGAAAAAGGTACTAGGGGCATCTCATGGGGCCCCCTACTGACCTCGGGCAGTGCCCGAGTTTCCAAATGGTCAGTCCGCCCCTGCACCTTAGGACAGGTCCACCATGTATGGAGAAGAGGGTTGGGATGGGGAGATTGTCCATAAATCAATGAAAGTCTAGCTGACCTGAATCGTTCGTGTCTGAATATAAACGTTGAAAAAAGGCATGGAACTCTTGCAGAACCGACTTAGGGTTTTGTGTAAAGGAGCCATCCGCTATCCTAATCTTGGAAATGTGGGGAGCGGGGTGTCTAGGGGCCAGTCTAGTTGCCAGTAACTTGCCTGGCTTGTCTGCCTGTGAATAAAATTTGGCCTGGGTTCATCACAGATGTTTTTCAGCTTTGGTGGTAAGACAGACATTTAATTATAATCTGGCAGCCTCAGACCGAGCACATACGTCCAGGTGGGGATTCTGTTTCTTCTCCTTGAGCAGGGCATGGAGTTCAGATTCCCTCTGTTTAACCACTTTCCCACCGCCCTATTGAAAATAATGCTACAGGGTGGCAGGGGTGCTCAAAAGCACTTATATATATGTGATTTTGCGTTTCCGGGTAGGGGGGCGCACGTCCTACCCGCGTTGCCATTGGCTGCCTCGGCTGTCAATCACCCGGTCCCAGCCGGTGATTCCCCACCAGCACCTGACGATCTCTGTGTATCACGGACAGGGGAGAGACCTATATGTAAACAATACAGATCTCTTCCCTGTCAGATCCTGCACTCTGCTTTGTATGGCTCTGCATACCAGAACCATACAAAGCAGTGTGCTCACAGTGGAAAGCACACACACAGCACACAGTGACACAGCACACAGTTAATCCTTTGATCGCCCCAGATGTTAACCTCTTCCTGCCCAGTGTCATTATTACAGTGTCAGTGCTTTTTATTAGCACTGATCACTGTATTAGTGTCACTGGGAATGTCAGTGACAGTTAGTCAGTTCGCGCCAGTGTCAGAATGCCCGCCGCAGTCCTGCTATAAGTTGCTGATCGCCACCATTACTAGTATAAGAAAAATAAAATTCCACTATCTATACCGCCGTTTGTAAACGATATAACTTTCATGTAAACCAATTAATTTAAACGTATTGGGTTTTTGTTTTTAGCAAAGACATGTATCAGAATACATTTTGACCTAAATTTATGACCAAATTAGATTTTTAAATATTTTTTTACTGGACATGTTTAATAGCAAAAAGTCAAAATATTGTTTTTTGCTCAAAATTGGCGGCCTTTTTTTTTTTTTATAGCGCAAAAAAATAAAAAACACAGAGGTTATTATTATTATACAGGATTTATATAGCGCCAACAGTTTGCTCAGCGCTTTACAATATAATGGGAGACAATACAGCAACAATACAGTTCAATACAAGAGGGATAGGAGGGCCCTGCTCCTTGGAGCTTACAATCTAAGAGAGGTGATCAAATACCACCAAAAGAAAGCTCTATTTGTGGGGAAAAAAAAGGACATACATTTCATTTGAGTGCAGCGTTGCATGATCGCACACTTGTCAGTTAAAGTAACGCAACACTGAATCGCAAAAAATGGCCTGATTAGGAAGGGGGGAAAATCCTCCGGAGGGCAAGTGGTTAAGTACCAATTCATATTGTCTGTTAGTCCTCATGCACGCTGGACATTTTTACAGCGGCTGTTTTTGGCTTTTGGCGGTTTTTTTCTACAGCCAGTAAACCCCCCAGCATGTTATCCTATGTGTCCATGCACACATAGACTGTAATCAGCTTTTTTTGGCTGGAAAAAAACCAGGACTAGTGGATTTCTAGAGGAGTTTTTTTAGCTGTAAAATGCTCTAAAACAATGCAAACCGACGTTTTTGGACATTATTTTACCAAACATATGCTAAAAAAGCAAACGCAGGAAAAGGCGGCTAAAGCTGAAAAAAGCACGTTTTTAACGTGACTGTACACAGCTAATGTTACCAGCGTTATCAAAACGCCCCGTATGCATGAAGCCTTCTGTCTAGCGGCTATCTGAATCAAAATACCTCGCACTGTGGCTTTATGTACCTCCCAGGTGAACATGTAAGAAGTTTGAGCAGGATCTTTTAAGGACAAGTATTCTTTCAGATGGAGTTCCTCATCTAAGCAGGTTGGCGGTAGCTTAAGAAAGATTTGTTTAGACGCCAGCTATAAGAGGCCGAAGGACTGCGAAGAGAGGATATAGTTACTAGAACTGAGGAATGATCAAACCAGGGGGTTTCCAAAATCTTGGAAGCAGTGCATAAAGGAATTGTAGAGGAGGACATGAAAACGGGATCAATCCACGAATACATCAAGTGGACGTGAGAATAAAAGGTTATATTGTAAAGCGCTATATAAATCCTGTATAATAATAATAAAAAGGTAAAATCGTGTTTGGTAGCATTAAATGCCCTCCAGACATCTACCACATCATAGTCCTGTAGTGATTTAGCAAATGTAGTGCCTAACTTGGAGAGTTTCTGAATCTGAGAGCCAGGAGGACGTCTTTTTTTTTAAGGAATTCAACGCAATATAGAAAAACTATGTAGAGCACCCTGCCAGCCCTTCCGGCTAGCCATGATCTGTCTTTATTGCATAGAGACTCAATGATGCTGTTACTGGGTCTAAAATAAAGTATGTAATAAAAATGGAATGGTTTTCTTTAATAACTTTTTCACTCCCTTGTCATATCACGCCTCGACTACTGTAACTCCCTCCTCATTGGCCTACCTCATCGTAGACTATCCCCCCTCCAGTCTATCATGAACGCTGCTGCCAGACTCATCCACCTCACTAACCGCTCTGTATCTGCCTCCCCTCTCTGCCAATCCCTCCACTGGCTCCCAGTTGCCCAACGGATAAAATTCAAAACTCTAACAATGACATATAAAGCCATCCACAACACTGCCCCAACTTACATAACCGATCTTCTCTCTACATATCACACAAACCGTACACTCTACTCTTCGCAAGACCTCTTACTCTCTAGCTCCCTTATCTCCTCCTCCCATGCTCGTCTCCAAGACTTCTCCAGGGCGTCACCCATCCTCTGGAACTCCCTACCCCAATCTATCAGATTATCACCTACTCTACTTGCCTTTTGGCGATCACTGAAAACCTTTCTCTTCAGGGAAGCCTATCCTGCCCTCAGCTAATTCTAGAATCCTCTACTCTTCCAACCACTCCATCCCCCACAGTGAGTACCTACTGTACCACTCACCCCGCCCTCCTAGATTGTAAGCTCCAAGGAGCAGGGCCCTCAAATCCCTCTTGTATGGAACTGTATTGTTACTGTATTGTCTCCCACTATAATGTAAAGTGCTGAGCAAGCCGTTGGCGCTATATAAATCCTGTATAATAATAATAATAACATTATTAGCATGTTGATAGGAGGGAAAGGAGGACCTGGGACCGGCAAAGTATATGCAGGATGCATTTGGATGTACTGTATTGAACTCCAGTAAGGATAGTTATACAACACCTACCAGATGGTGCAATCACCTTAAATATTGTGGACTTTGAGGCAACAAGCCAGATGAGCACCTGGGGTGTTAAGAGTAGACCTACCCGGAGAAGTAACTGATTATATTTGACACAGCAAGTGCTTAGGAGGGACATGGAAGTGGCCGGAGTGTAGAGGAGCCCAGAAAAGATCACAGATCCATCCACAGAGAATAGAGAGGTACAGATCTGTCCTGCACCAGACCCAAGGGGATGACACATGTTCCCTTTATCAGGGAAATCATGGGCAGCCATGTGCATCATGTGATATGCTCTAGCGAACAAACAAGAAAATGTTATGCTGGACCTCATGGTTCATTGACCACAGGGACAAATCCCAGAATGCACTGAGGCTGGACTTAGGTAATCAACTGAATAGGCTGTTTTGCCACTTCCATAACAAGTTTGCAGGTGTTAGGGGAAACCTTCTGACATCTGTAGAGTTTGAAATATGGTGAATGCTTATTTAAATGTAATCCTATATACAGATCTTGAATGAAGACCTGATTGATCACCTTGAAGAAAATGGCGTCTCCTGGGGAGCGAAAGTCTCCAGGCGTTCGAGGCAAGTCCCCTGCGATCACTACCACGGTAGGTCCAACTTTTAGTGTGCTGAATTTTGCATATCACATTTGTATTGTGTTTTCAATGCATTTTTGGTGCATTTTCTGAATTGCTGACTCCCAGCATGCACTTGTGAAACTTGGACATGTGACTCAAAAAAAGCGTTTTTTGGTGCTTTCTCGTTGAATTACAATGGAAGGTGCGTTTTTAGTGCACTTTTCAAAAGTGCACCAAAGATGCTGCACGCAGGACTTTTCAAAAGGCAGCGCATTGACGTGAACAGTTACATAGGATTTCATTTTCATGCGTTTGTGCTGGAAAGTGCATTTTACTGTGGCAAAAGCATTCCAATGTGAAAGGGCCTTAAAGTGTTACTAAACCCACAACAGTAAAATCAATCTGTATATGCAGTAAAGCATGCTTGTTATACTGACTATGGATCTTAAGGGGTTAATCCTCTACATTGTGTAAAAAGGATGTTTGATCCTGACTTCTCTGATCCTCCTCTTCTTCCAGTGTCCCCCCTCTTACCTCCTAATAAGACGTTTGGAGACACTGCATATGCTCAGTTTGGTGTGTATTACTAGAGAGTTTTTTTTTTTAATTCTTGGGAGAGTGCATGTGGTCAGCACAGGGCCAGTCAGCACTGCCCAGACAAAGGTCAGGGGTTCTGCATCCTCTTAGAGCAGAAAGAAAACTCCTCCTACAAGCTCTGCTGGACACTGATAGAAGTCACAAGACTGCTCTAACTGCTGATGAGAAAAGGTATTTAGCAGTTTATAGTTACTAAAATAATTGCATTTCCATGTTCTGTGTACTGTTGGACACCAGATATAGTGTTTACAGGGTCCTGGGTTTAGTAACACTTTAAATACAAGTTTGTTTTTGTTGCTATAGCTATTGCTGTCTTATGATAAAAAAAAAAAAAAAAAAAAATAATGTTACCCATGTCTACATTATAGAAGAAGCCTGGGAAGAAAAGTACCTCCCCCCAGTGTCCTCCAACTTTGCAGGAAGTAAAGAAGAGAGGCTACCGCATGCGAAAGACACCAGAAAGGGACATTTGTGATCAACTAGATGGGCTGGTAAGACTGAATGACATCAGAACATTATTTTTATCTATTAAAGGGGAGAAGAAGACTTCCTGTATCTTGTCAGGCAACTGGTCATACATACAGAGCCTTGAAAAAGTATTCATACCCCTTGAAATTTGAAATGTTACAACCAAAAACGTAAATGTATTTTATTGGGATTTTATGTGATAAACTAACACAAAGTGGCGCATAATTGTGAAGTGGAAGGAAAATGATAAATGGTTTTCAACATTTTTTTACAAATAAATATCTAAAAAGTGTGGCGTGCATTTGTATTCAGTCAATACTTTGTAGAACCACCTTTGGCTGCAATTACAGCTGCAAGTCTTTTTTGGGGATGTCTCTACCAGCTTTGCACATCTACAGAGTGACATTTTCTTCTTTGAGAAAAATCTTTGCAAAATAGCTCAAGCTCTGTCAGATTGGATGCCACAGATTTTCACTTGGATTTAGGCCTGGACTTTGACTAGGCCATTCTAACACATGAATATGCTTTGATCTAAACCATTCCATGGTAGCTCTGGCTGTATGTTTAGGGTCTTTGTCCTGCAGGAAGGTGAACCTTCGTCCTAATCTCAAGTCTTTTGCAGACTCTAACAGGTTTTCTTCTAAGATTGTATTTGGCTTTATCCATCTTCCCATCAACTCTGACCAGCTTCCCTGTCCCTGCTGAAGAAAAGCATCCCCACAACATGATGCTGCCACCACCATGTTTCACGGTGGGGATGGTGTGTTCAGGGTGATATGCAGTGTTAGTTTTCCGCCGCACATAGCGTTTTGCTTTTAGGTAAAAAAAAGTTACATTTTGGTCTCATCTGACCAGAGCACCTTCTTGCACATGTTTGCTGTGTC